CTGATTCATCACCAGAACAGGTCCATTCTGTGCACTGAATGAGGCTGGGGGGCCTGTGGAAAAACTATATGTGATCATGTGATTAAAGATGGTGTCATGATGCACATGCACAAGGGGGTAGAATTAAGGTTGTCCTAATTCTGACATTTCCTAACTTTTGAGTGCTTGACTTTGCAACCACAATAATGATCTTTTAATGTAGGTTTGGTGTGTAAATTTCCTAAGTTTTTAAAAAAAGAAAACTGAAAAGGTAACCGACGTGGCTCATCAGCAGGGCTGGAACCTTTAGATCCACTACACAGACTCTGCCACTTGAACTAAGAGTAACTAATAGCAATATTAGGTTGTCATCCTTTATGTGGACCAGCAACTAGAGAGCGGTGAGCCATAAACTTTGCCAGTGGGTTTCACAGATATTTGCTGACAGCAGAGAAATGGTGAAACTCAGGAATTTTGAGTTTCATTCCAGATTCTGGAAGGAAGTGTACTTTAAGGGGCTCAGACTCTGCCTCTTTCCCTCAAACTTGACCCCTTCTGCCCCAACCTGTCCCTGTACCACTCCTGTCTCTTCCCCACTCCTGGGCCATCATCTCAGCCATCATAATTCTCCTTGCTTACCAAGTCCCAGGCTTCTGATCCCTGTCTCAGTCTCTTTGCCCAGCCAGTCCTAGTCTCAGTCTCTCCCAACTATTACTAGTCCCAGTCTTCCTCCTTTCAGTCCCCGTCACCTTGCCCAGCAATTCCACATTTCCCCTCCATCCCCACCCTCCCAAGCTCCTTTGTGTGACACTGAGGTCAATTGGTACCAGTTGGGAAAAGAGTCAATACTCTGTGTCAAGGCTCCTAACAGCCGTGCCAAACTCACTACACCTAGCACACTGCTTTCCTAGTATTTATCCAGAGAGAATATAACGTAAGATAGCTAACAAAAGCTTATGTCATCCTGATCTTCATAATCATTGCAATATTTATGGAGTCATGTATGAAATTTGTGTCCACAACAAAGTTGACAAACAGGTTTTGGGTCAGAGGATGTTGAGTCACCTAATTCAGTGTTTCCCAAACAGTGGGTTGTGGGAAGGTTCTAGATTAGTTGCCACATCCAGGGCTGGATTAACCCATCCCTGGGCCATGGCCAAGGCAAACACACACTTCTCCCAGCCTGGTGTGAGACCCCATGAACCAGGTCACAATACCTAGAGTGGGGCATTGGGCTGAACACTGTGGGACAGGAGCTGCCACTACAGGATGAGTGCAGAGGGGGCCGGGTCAGGACTAGTGTTGTGGTGCCAGGGCAAAGGGTGTATTTATGGAATGCTGGTTCACAGAACGAAACAAAAGGCAGTGGGGGCCGGGGGGAAGGGGAGAGGGTCGCTTTGGTAAAGTTTGGGGACCACTTCCTAAGTGATATATCCCAGTACAGCACTGGCTTGACTCTGCTAGAGCTTCACACTGTGAGATCATGTGCCACTCGTTACCCTCCCAGCCCTCAGCAGCACCCTTCAGTGCTAGGGTTGCCAGGCATCCAGTTTTCGACTGGAACACCCAGTTGAAAAGGGACTCTGGTGGCTCCGGTCAGCACTGCTGACCGGGCCATTAAAAGTCCAGTCAGCAGCACAGCAGGGCTAAGGCAGGCTCCCTGCCTGCCCTGGCTCCGCACAGCTCCAGGAAGCGGCCAGCATGTCCCTGTGGCCCCTAGACGCAGGGGCAATCAGGGAACCTCCGCGTGCTGACCCCACTCCGAACACTGGCTCCGCAGCTCCCATTGGCCAGGAACTACAACCAGTAGGAGCTGCAGGGGCGGCGCCTGCGGGCGTGGGCAGCATGCACCGTGCAGCGCCACCTGGCCGTGCCTCCACCTAGGGGCCAGACATGCCAGCCGCTTCCGGGAGCCGTGTGGCGCCAGGGCAGGCAGGAAGTCTCCCTTAGCCCCACTGAGCTATGAACCGGGAGTTGCCTGAGGTAAGCGCCACCCAGCTGGAGCCTGCACCCCGACCCTCTTGCCCCAGGTTGGAACTCCCTGCTGCACCCTAACTCCCTCCTAGACCCTACATCGCTCACCCCATCCCATACCCCAACCCCCTGCCCCAGCCCTGAGCCCCCTCCTGCACTCCAAAGCCTCTGGCCCCTGCCCGGAGCCCCCTCCTGCACCCCAAACCCCTCATCCCTAGCCCCATCCCAGAGTCCACACCTTCAGCTGGAGCCCTCACCCCACCATGCCCCAACCACCTGCCCCAGCCCTGAGCCCACTCCCGCCCTTCAAACTCCTTGGCCCGAGCCCGGAGCCCCCTCCTGCACCCCAAACCCTTCATCCCTAGCCCCACCCCAGAGTCTGCACCCCCAGTTAGAGCCCTCACTCCCTCCCACACCCCAACCCCCTTCCCCAGCCCAGTGAAAGTGAGTGAAGGTGGGGGAGAGTGAGCAATGGAGGGAGGGGGGCTGGAGTAAGTGGGGGCGGGGCCTCAGAGAAGGGGTAGGGCAGGACAGGGCCTCAGGTGTTTGGTTTTGTGCAATAAGCAAGTTGGCAACCCTATCCAGTGGCCCAGACCGGGCATGACGATTATCTGGATTCTATAACCAGTTAGTGGCATAGACACCACTGTGACGTTACACCTCATATTCTTCGTAGAAATATGGTTATGATATGAATATGGCATAACTAAGACATGCTTTATGCAAGATGGGTTGTGTGAAGTATTGTTGGAAAGGTTATGATTTACTGAATGTGTAAAAAGCAACAGAGGGTCCTGTGGCACCTTTAAGACTAACAGAAGTATTGGGAGCATAAGCTTTCGTGGGTAAGAACCTCACTTCTTCAGATTAGAAGTGAGGTTCTTACCCATGAAAGCTTATGCTCCGTTTCCCAAACAGTGGGTTGTGGGAAGGTTCTAGATTAGTTGCCACATCCAGGGCTGGATTAACCCATC